TGCGGGGGGGATAGTGTCATGCCTCCGTCTGAGCCTGAGGAAGACATGGAGTTCCCTGTTGAGGCCCAGGAGGGGGTGTCTGTGGCTTCGGAGGACTGTGGGGAGGAGCAGGCTGAGGCAGGCCAGGGCCCTTCAGGTTTGGAACAGGGAAGGCAGAGTTCAGGCGAGGAGCAAGGCCCCTCCCCACCTGATCCTACAGCAAGGAGAGCAGAGAGGAGGAGGGAACAATGGAGGCAGGCTCACTTGCTCAGGAGGAGAGCGTCCCGCCCCACTCCACAAGGCACACCTGGGGAGTAGGATTTAAGGAGACGCTGTGGGGTGGGGCATTTGCCGGGAACAAACGTGAAATCTTGAGATAGTGTGGTCTTGTAACCTGGACACTTTGTATTCTGGACCAGTTTGCTTCCTGCTGATCTCGCCTTGCAGTCTGCAGTTTGCAGTTCACAGGAAAGCTGGGCGTTAAAAGGATTATACATTTGCTTGTTATCTGTCTTGCTTTAAGAACAGTGTAAACTTCCCTGGCTGTTTTGTTTGAACTCGTGCCAGCATATGTGGGGGCTGTTGGGTGAACATTGGCAGTGATTAAAAGACTATTGCTCTGGCCAGCTGATTGCTTTGCCTCCATTCGGGGCCCTGGGTCATCACAGTCCACTAGGACAATTCTGGGAGTTGAAGTCCAAAGGTCATAAAGGGGCCATAGTTGCTCACCTTAGTTCTAGAGTCTGTTAGTTTGAAATGATTCCAGGTACTCGAGAAGAAGGACCAGGCTAAGCAAGGAGTGTTGTACGGGATGAGGCCAGTAGCATTTGGGTGAATTTATGCTTTTAACTGGTCTTGTCCCCTATGGGAGCCATTTCTGAATGGGAAATCCTAGCAAGCATTTTGTGACAGCACCCACACAGCATGTTCTTCTGAAAATTCTCAGCATCAAATTTCAGCCCTCAAATTTTGGGGAACCTTGAGATAGGGTGGCAGGCTGCAGGTTCATCTAGTTGAGGCTAAGCAGATCCCTTAAGGCAATGGTCTCCAACCTTTCCGGCTTGGCAGGGATGGGGGAGAGGGGATGGTTCTGTACCAGCAGCGGGCGAGCATGTGCGTAGCTCCATTTGTACGCGCTCGCCCATCCGCTGCAGATGCAAGTGTGCGTGTGCTTGCCTGCCACTTCAGCGGTCTGGGTCTAAACTGGGCCATGGCCCAGGGGTTGGGGACCTCTGCCTTAAGAAGGAGAAGAAGATCCCCTGGAACCCTGTTTAGGACAGCAGAACACGAGCAAGAGAGAGGTGATCCCAAGACTACAACCCACTGGGAAAGACGTGTGTAGAGGGTCCTTGAAATTAACACATGTTCTCTTCATCCGAAAAAAAAAAAATGACTACATAGTGAGAAGCTCAGACAACTATATAATTAAGTTTTCTATCTTGGGCACCCAGGTAATTTGACTTTGACTTGACTATTTTATATGAATTGTTCAGTATCAGCAGAATCTGTGGACCTTTCCAAGGTTCAAAAGTAAAAATAGACAGACCGCTCCCTTAAAATACCATCAGTTAAAAAAAAAAAAAGGATTTTTGGAAAAGTATTTCCAGCTTTCGTTTTAAGTCATGTAGCTCACCTTTGCCTAATCCCACTGGCTCGAGGTGCATTTTAACACAGCCAATGGTTTTCAAAGCTATGCTAGAGTCTTTTTTTATATATTGTTATTAAAATAAACATTTATTTATTTTATTCATAAAAATTCAGTCAAATAACATTGAGAATGCCACATTTCAGGTTCAACTTTGAAACGTCTCTAACTCTATTTTTTATTATTATTATTATTATTATTATTATTATTATTATTATTATTATTATTATTAACAACAACAATAATAATAATAATAGTAAAGTTAGAAGGTACCTTGGGAGGTCATCTAGTCCAACCCCCTGCTCAGGCAGGAAACCCTATACCATTTCTGACAAATGGCTGTCCAGTCTCTTCTTAAAAACTTCCAGTGTTGGAGCATTCACCGCTTCTGGAGGCAGGTTGTTTCACTGGTTAATTGTTCTCACTGTCAGGAAGTTTCTCCTTAGTTCTAGGTTGCTTCTCTCCTTGATTAGTTTCCACCCGTTGCTTCTTGTTCTGCCTTCAGGCGCTTTGGAAAATAGCTTGACTCCCTCTTCTTTGTGGCAGCCCCTGAGATACTAGAACACTGCTATCATGTCCCCCCTCGTCCTTCTCTTCATTAAACTAGACATACCCAATTCCAGCAACCATTCCTTGTATGCTTTAGCCTCCAGCCCCCTAATCATCTGTGTTGCTCTTCTCTGTACTGTTTCTAGAGTCTCAATATCTTTTTTACATCGTGGTGACCAAAACTGGATGCAGTATTCCAAGTGTGGCCTTACCAAGGCATTGTAAAGTGGTATTAACACTTCACGTGATCTTGATTCTATCCCTCTGTTAATGCAGCCTAGCACTGTGTTGGCCTTTTTGGCAGCTGCAGCACACTGCTGGCTCATATTTAGGTGATTGTCTACTAGGACTCCTAGGTCCCTCTCGCAGTTACCACTATTGAGCAAGGTGCCACCTATGCTGTACTTGTGCATTTGGTTTTTCTTGCCTAAATGTAGAACCTTGCTTTTTTCACCATTGAATTTCATTTTGTTAGATAGTGCCCAGTGTTCAAGTCTGTCCAGATCCTCCTGTATCCTAAGCCTGTCTTCTGGAGTGTTGGCTATTCCTGCCAGCTTGGTGTCGTCTGCAAAT